AAAAATACAAGATTAAATATTTGCAAATCATATATATATATATAGTCTTCTGGTTTTATTTGACTTTGGTAAAGAAAACAGGAAAATTATGCTTAATTAAAAGTGTCTACTGAAAAGGTCTAGTGCTACTGCGATTATTAACTGGAAAACTGGAATTCTTTTTCCCCCCCAGTTTTGAGTTATGATTAGCATACTACACTGTATAAGTTTAAGGTATACAGCATAATGATCTGACTTGACTATACTGTGAAATGATCATGGCAATAAGTCTTGGTAACATTTATCATCTCATGGAAGTACAAAAAGGAAAAAGTTGCTTTCCTTGTGGTGAGAATGCTTAAGCTCTATTCTCTTAACTTTAAAATATACCATATAGCAGTGTTAACTATATTTATAATTAGGTACATTACATCCCTATTTATTTATCTTACAACTGGAAGTTTATACCTTTTGACCACCTTTATCCAATTCCCCTTCCCTCCATCCCATCTCTAGTAAACACAAATCTGGTCTCTTTTTCTATGAGTTTGTTGTTATAGATTCCACATATAAGTGATACCATACAGTATTTGTTTTTCTGACTTACTTGACCTAGCATAATGCCCTCAAGGTCTGTCCATATTGTTGCAGGATTTCCTTCTTTTGTAAGACTGAATAATTTTCCATTGTGTATCTACATCACATCTTTATCCATTCATCCACTGATAGACACTTCAGTTGTCTCCATATCTTGGCTATTGTAAGTAACGTTGCTATGAACGTGGGAGTGCAGATATTGCAACGTAAGTGTTTTCATTTCCTTTGGCTATATTCCCAGAGGTGAAATTGCTGGATCATATATGGTAGTTCTATTTTTTATTTTTTCAGGAACCTCCATCCTGTTTTCCATAGTTGCTGTACCAATTTACAATCTCACCAGCAGTGCACAAGGTTCCCTTTTCTCCACATCTCGGCTAGCATTTGTCATCTTGTCTTTTCGATGACAGTCATTCGATCAGGTGTGAGGTGATACCTCATTGTGGTTTTGATTTGCATTTCCCTAGAGATTAGTGCTGTTGAGCAACTTTGCATATACCTGTTGGCCATTTGTATCTTCTGTTGAAAAGAGAGAAATCCTAGTGCAACTCAGCTTGCTTGTGGTCTGGCTATTTCAATTAAAAATAATATATATGTACTATATATATATAAAAAATCTATTATACTGCCAGATTTTTCTTGGAATTTCCCATGTTCTTTTCATATTATAGATCAGACCTAAAACTGATTCATACCTTATCTCTGTTTCAGTCTGTGTTTCTCTGCATAGTCAATGGGCTAGACCAGCAAAAAGGACAGGGCTGACTTCAGTTTGGTTATGTGCTTTAGTATCCTTAATAATGGGTGTTGTGGAACTTACACAAGAAAGTGATTGTCAATGGTGTACATGGTTCATGAGGACATAGAAGTAATAAGAGATCTTCATCACTTGGTCTCATCCTGCTCAATAGTTTTTCAACTGTGGTTCTAGGAAGAAATCTCTAGTTAGAGCCCACAGTATTTATCAATGATTCTTCTTGCTAATGGCAGCAAAGCTCCATCTAAGTTACCTCCTAAGTTAGGTTATTTGAAATTTAGATCACTTCAAGGAAGACAGTGGAATTTTCTCTGTACAGGTGACAACTCCAGTAATAGGCCAATCTCGTTTGTCTATTTAATATTAGGTCTCCATCTGTTTTTGTTGTCTCCTCTTTTTTATTTTGGCCTTTGATGAACACTTAACTTTTTTCAAGTATTCAGCTTTAAAATCCCATTCCAGAAGTCAACTGCCCATTTATCCCAGAGGAAAACGGAAAACATCTTAAGATTAGAAAGAAGGCAATGGTCCCCTCTCTCTTGAGCCTTTCATACCGGAAGGTGCAGCCAGCGAAATAAGGCCAGAAAAGTATACAGAAGGTATACAGAATGGAAAGAACAATAGCAACCCAAAAAACCTGTCCTTATTTGAGGACATTTTTTTCTACATAAAGAATGAAAAGGAATCTACAAATAAAAATAGCCCTCTCCCACCACTGGAAAACTTAGGTTTATATCTAACAATATGTGTAAAGAAGCTGAAAGCCAGAAAACAGTGATGAAAGAAATCAAAGATCTAAATAAGTGGAGAGACAAATTGCGCTTATGAATGAGAAGTCTCAATCAGTAAAAATTTCAGTTTTCTCCCATGATATAAAGGTATAATGGAATTCCTATCAAAATCTGAGCACAGTTTCTGGGGAGAAAAGAAAACCCAGACAAATCCAAAGTATACAGAAAAGCCAAGAAATTAGGATAAAGCAATTTTGAAAAAGGATAAAAGGAGAAGAATCACTATTTAGCTACAGTAATCAAGAATGTGGTATTTGTAGAAGGAGAGAGACATAAATCAATGGAACCAGAAGAGTTCAGAAATAGACTCACATGAGTAGGCCACCTGATCTTTCACAGAAGTGCAAAACAACTGAATAAGGATTTTTTTTTCAACGAAGTGTTGAAACAATTAGACATCATAGGCAAAAAAAATGAACCTTGACCTAAACCTTACACTTTACAAAAAAAAATTAACTCAAAATGTATCACAGAATAGGTAATATCCACATTAAACTTCAAAATATTTATGCATCCAAAACCCTGGTATTTTTATAATGTTAAGTATTTGACAAAGGTTTTGTATCCAGAATGTATTATAGCACTAAAAATTTAAAAATTAATGACCCATTAGGGCCACACCCAGTGGCAGTGAGGTAAGTTTGCCTCCTGCCTCACCAACAGGGTAGTGTCAGGCGGGATGAATTTCCATGCTGGCCCAAAAGCAGTGAGGTAGAGCCAGGTGGTTCCAGGTAGTGCTGTTCAACAACCAGCTTCTCCCTCTCTTCCATGTTATCAGGGCACAATGGAGAGCTGGACTTCCATCCCCACAGAACGAATTCTAGCCACAAAGTGGCGCTAGCCAACACTCTTTCCCCTCCTTTATCCTTCCCAGCTGTTTTAGCTGGGTTTGATGGACAGCTTAACTTCCACCCTGACCCACTGAAAATGAGGTGGGTGTTAGCTCCTCTTTTGCTTGGGTGGAGTCTGTGGGGCCCAGCAGGGAGCTGAACATCTATCCCAAACTGGACCTTCAGGCTACACCTAAACAGAGTGACTGCCTGCAAAAAGGAAGGTTAAATAAGATCTAGAGTCTCACAACACAACACCCAGAATATCCAGAAAAGAACTGAAAATCAGTCATCATATCAGTCATAAAAATTTAAAACAGCAGTCATACAAATGCTTCAGTGAACAAATCATGTACATACTTAAATTTAAAAAATAGAAAATTTAGCAAAGAAAGGGAGAATATAAAGAACAAATTGGAATATTTTAAACCAAAAAAACAGTAACCAAAAGACTCAATGGATGTGCTCAAAAGCATAATAGAGGGGACAGAGGAACTTATCAGTGAACTTGAAGAAATAGACTTTGATGAGTTATATAAGCATAATTTAATACCTGAAGCAATTTCTAAAAATTATACAAAGAGATGTACTTACGAACTCTAGATAAAGTAGAATTCTAAAAAATGCTCATGTAACCCACAGCAAGTGAAACAGAGGAACAAAAAATGGAACAAACAAAACAACCAATAAAATGGCAGAGAATGTTCATAGCAGATTTGTAATAGCCAAAAACTGAAAACAATCCAAATGTCTTTCAATGGCTGAATATTTAAAGAATCATGGTATATCTATACCACAAAAAATTACTCAGAAATTACTCAAAAAAGAACAAATTGTACCTACAACAACTGGGATTGATCTCAAGGGAATCATGTTTAGTGGGGGGAAAACAAGCCAGTCTTAAAAGGTTATATAGTAATTCCATTTAATGAACACTCCTGATATGACAAAATTATGGAGAATAGAGTAGTGGTTGGCAGGGACTAGGAATGGCGAGCAAAGGGAGGAAACAAGGATGGGTGTGATTATAAAGGGATAGAACAAGATATAGTGTTGCAAGTTCTGTATTTTGATTGTGGTGGTAGCTATACAAAGTTACACTAGATAAAACTGAATAGAACTACACAGACACACGTACACAAGTGCATATAAAATCAGTGAACTCTGGTAAAGTCTGTTGATCGCCAGTGTCAAATTTGATGTTTACTATAGTTACGTAAAATGTTACCATTAGGGGAAACTGGATATGGGTATACAAACTAAATAGTACTTCAACTTCCTATAAATCTGTAATTATTTCTAAATAAAAATGTTTTCTTAAAGTCCTAGTAGAGAAAAAAAATAGACAAAATACATGAGTGGGCTTTTCATAGAAAAAGAACTTGGAGTACTATAAATATTTGAAAGGCCTGAATACAAAACACCTGTAGTACAGGAAGATACGAACTTTCACATACGCTGGTCTCTTACCTGACACACACAAAATTACCAGCATCTGCATCTCCATTTAAGGATCCAGAAACCAAAGAAATATTTGTTGAAATACACTGGAATTGCTTCTGCTCTAATACGGAAACTGTCCATTGGCTTGACATGTTAGAACATTAATAACATTTTACAGTACGAATGGTCTCTTTCCCTCAATTTAAAACCAACCCAAATGCAGGTGATTTTTTTTTCCCAAATGGAGAGTCAGTTATCTCAACAATTGAATATTTTTTTTGTTTCTTCACTGCTTTCAAATAGGGAGGAACTTGCGTTTGAAATAAAAATGAAAAATCTAAAAATTGGCCTCAAACAAATGTTATACACTTCTGATTTGTATTATCCTAATTAACATTATGAAGCAAGAGTATTATTTTAATTCAGGTTTGGTTTATGTATTATTAAAGATAATTTTCTGTAAATGTTAGTATCTGATCAAAGTAACAATCTATTTAAAAATTGTTTCTATAGGTACAGGTTTTTTCTACCTATTTCTTATTTTATAGAAACAATAAAGAATTTTTTCAAAAAACCACAACATAATTTTGACAACCAGACTTGTTACTGCTGCCATATCCACTTTCATTCTTTATTAAAGAAATATTACAAATAAATAAAACAACTGCTTCCAATGCCTAAAAGTCAACCAATGTCACATATGTATTCAAGATCAATACACAGTACTGTACTTTGCACTGTTATATTAAATTTATAGAACTGTTATACCATGTTTCATTGTACGTTTGCTTTTTTCTCTCAATATTATGTATTGTAATCTATCAATGTAATGATATATCAAACTTATATCTTTATGGTGTTTTCATAGAAATAATCACATCGTATTGACCTGTCTCTCTACTAACGGAAATGCTTGTTCTGTCCAATTTAAAGTAAATACAAACCATGATGCAGTGAACATAGCGAGATACATGTATCTCTGTGCACAAATGTGGTGCTTCTAAAGCCAATACACCAAAATAGAATTGAATGTTCCGTATTTATGTGTTTTTAAAGAAGTCCTGTCACTCTAAAGTAAGAAATATAGTCTATTCTATTTTATCATAGTTATAAAATTTTGTATTTTATATTGTCTTCAATCTGTTTGGGTTTTATTTTTGTATATGGTATAAAGTAGAGAGCTAACAGTTTTTGTTGAATCTTCCATTTATTGAATAGGCCATCCTTTTCCCAGTGGTTTTAATAGCACTATAGTACACATAATTCCTGTATTTCCTTCCTCCAGTCCCCAGTTTGTTTCCACTGATTTATTTACTCATCAAGAACACATTGTTCAAGTGGCAGCAGCTTTACATAAATATGTGATGATATCTAGTAGTCTGCCTTTTCTTTTGCTTTCACATTTTTTTTTAGCCATTAGTGGTCCTTTAACTCCCTATGTAAAATTTTGATTCAGTTTGTGAAATTTTTAAAATATAACTGGTAAAACTTTTGAGTGGATGTACTTTAAACATAGAGATTTGTGGGAAATTTTATATATATATATATTTTTACAATCTCAAATCTTTTCAGACAATGCTATTTTTCTCAAATTTTCAGGTGTTCTTTTGTGCCCTTCAAAATGTTGTATAACTTTATATGTGTCTTATAATTCATTATTTATTCTTAGATATTTTATATCAACATATTTTCTAATTAACTATTCTCATATAACAGGTTATTTTTATAGTTTCTTTTTTTCTCCAATCTTCTTTTTCTTGCTTAAGATATTGGCTAGGAGCTCAAGTAGCATGTAGACATACTAATAGCAAATATCCTGTTTCAGATATTAATGAGAATGCTGGGTAAATGTTATCATTAGATAAGATGTCTGCTGAAGATTTTTGATGATCACCTTTTCACTATAAAATTTGTCACCTTGGTAAGATTCTCATGTTTCACAAATGTGTGACTTCTTCAAAAGGCTTTCCCACATTCACAGTTTTCTGCTCTAGATCCAATTACATAATGCACAAGGAGGTGCTAATTCCTTCTGAAGAGTTTTCCATATTCATGAGATTCACAGGGTTTCTATTTCTAATAAGTATGAATTCTCTGGTGTCTAACAAGGTGTGACTTCTGGCTGAAAGCCTTACCACACTCATTACAATGATAGGGCTTCTCACCTGTATGTTTTCTCATATGAAGTGTAAGAGATGAGATTTGAGAAAAGGCTTTTCCACATTTACTACAGTCAAAGGGTTTCTCACCTGTATGACCTCGTATATGTATAGTAAGGGAGGAGCTTTGGGAGAAGGCTTTTCCACACTTATTACATTCATAAGGTTTCTCACCTGTATGACCTCTCATGTGCACAATAAGCGAAGTTCTTTGAGAGAAAGCTTTCCCACATTCATTACATACATAGGGCTTCTCACCTGTATGACTTCTCATATGTAAGTTAAGCAGTGAGCACTGAGAGAAGGCTTTCCCACATTTATCACATTCATAAGGCTTTTCCCCTGTGTGACTTCTCAGATGAAGAGTAAGGGAAGCAATTTGAGAGAAGGCTTTACCACATTCATTACAATCATAAGGTTTCTCTCCAGTGTGAACTTTCTGATGTGTAATAAAGTTTTGCTTTTGGCTGAAGGCTTTACCACATTCATTACATTCATAGGGTTTCTCTCCAGAATGAATTTTTTCATGAGCAATGAGATTTGATTTCTGGCTAAAGGCTTTGCCACATTCCTTACATATATAAGGTTTTTCCCCAGTGTGAATTCTCTGATGTCTAACGAGATTTGACATCTGAATGAAAGCTTTCCCACATTCATTACATTCATAAGGTTTCTCTCTAGTATGAATCTTCTGATGTGTAATGAAGTTCTTCTTGTGGCTGAAGGCTTTTCTACATTCCTTGCATTCATAAGGTTTCTCACCAGTATGACTTCTCATATGTACAGTAAGGGCTGAGCTTTGAGAGAAGGATTTTCCACATTCATTGCATTCATAGGGTTTCTCACCTGTATGAATTCTTACATGTATAATAAGCATGGAAAACTGAGAGAAGGCTTTTCCACATTTATCACATTTATAAGGTTTCTCTCCTGTATGACTTCTCATATGAAGAGCAAGAGATGCTATTCGAGGGAAGGCTTTACCACATTCATTACATGCATAAGGTTTCTCGCCAGTATGAACTTTCTGATGTGCAATGAGGCTTTGCTTCTGGCTGAATGCTTTTCCACATTCATTACATTCATAAGGTTTCTCTCCAGTATGAATTTTTTCATGATCAATGAGATTTGATTTCTGGCTGAAGGATTTCCCACATTCCTTACATGCATAAGGTTTCTCTCCAGTATGGATTCTTTGATGTCTAATGAGATTTGACATTTTAATGAAAGCTTTCCCACATTCATTACATTCATAAGACTGCTCTCTACTGTGAATTTTATGATGTTTAATGAGTTTTTCTTTGTGGCTGAAGGCTTTTCTACATTTTTTACATTCATAGGGTTTCTCTCCAGTATGAATTCTCAGGTGTCTGATGAGGTCCAAGGTTTGATCGAAACCTTTTCCACAATGATTACACTTAAAGGGGGTTACTACAAAATGGGATAATGTACTGCCAAATGATTTCACAGGCTCATTATATTCACAATTTTCTTTTCTTATAAGGACTCTCTCATTATGATAGTCGAAATACTTTCCAAATAAGTCGTATTCATAGAGATTGTGACTGGAAGGGAAAAAGTCTGAGTCTGGAGGAAATGCATTTGCAAATTTCTCATGACATGCATTGACTTTTTCCTCAGTCAGTGTTTTTGTGAATTTACCTTCAAGTTGTGTCAAAAGTCTGTCCTGGATTTTCTGATGCTCATCAATTCCCCATATTTCTCCTAAAACAGATTGCAAATAAGTATCACTTGTAAATTTTTCCAAAATTATATCAAAAAATTTCAAAAAAATTATGTTTGGGATTGATTTTTGGCTTATGGCCTAGTTTCCTATTAAGCAAATTTGAGGTACCTATATCTATTTCCTAAGCTTTATGAAATTCTAGGAAATGAAATATGAGTACAGTCAGATACTTAATAATACAAATAGCTTTGATTTCTTCTAAATGGGATCTCAAAGAAAAAGACAGAAACTGTTAGAAAATAAAACAGGGAATGCAGAATGTACAAATAAAGTAAGAAGAAATAATGATAGAAAAACAAAAACGGGAAGCTAAAAAATCATAAAAGTATTTTACAGGACTCTATTTAAATACACTTTTATAAAATGCGTTGACAAATAATTTTCTGGAAAACGTAAATTACCAAAACTGACTGTAAGATGTAGAAAACAAATATAGACCAATGTCAACAAAATAAAAGGAAAAATATGAAAAGAAATCCCCTAAAAACAAAACAAATAAGAAAGGCCCAGAGATATTGACTTTGGAATTTAAAGAAACATCTAAGAGACATCCATTAATGCAGTGTGAAATGTTACAAAAGGAAAAAAGAATTACCATTTCTTGCTACGTGAAACAAACAATATTAATAATGATATTATTTATAATTATAAATGATAAAAATGACAACCAAAAATGCAAACTATACACCAGTTTCATTTATGAGTATCAATGCAAAAATTCTATATATCAAAATGACCCAGAAGAAAAAAGTGACCCAGAAGAAAAAAGTGACCCAGAAGCACATTAAATATAAGCATATCATACATATGTTGATTTTTTCCAGGAATATAAGTATGCTTCAATATTAGGAAAATCTATTACTGTAAGTAAATACATTAATAAGTCAAAGGTGAAAAATCAAGTAAATAGTTCCAAAAATAATAAAAAGATAATAAAACTCAACATCTGTTTTCCATAAAAAAAACTTTATAAAATGGGAATAGACAGACACATATTAGAAAAAGCACAGTACAACTTAACCACTGACAGCGTCCTTAATGGGAAAAATCCCAAAGCATTCATTAAGTTAAAGACAGGAATAAGAAAAGGAGGAGTGCTGTCACCACTATTATTATAGTACAGGGTAGTGTGTTAAATAAGAGAAAGAAACTAGAGGTATAATAATTTGGAAAGGAAAGGTAAAATTAATATTATTTGTCAACACTAAAACTGCTTACTTGCAAAATCAAAAGTCACTTGAAAAATTATAGAAAGAAATTAAATTCACTGTGTATAGAAAATTAATATTCAGTTTCAATAACCTTCATATATACAAACAACTATTTAGAAAATATAAGAAAAGATTACACTTACAATAACAAATATATGAAAAATCTAGGAATAAATTTAATAAGAACTGTCCAAAAATTATTTCAAAACTTTAAAATGCACACAAAGATTTAAAAAAATGGAAGTTTTATGGGTTGAATTTTTTGCCCCCCATCAAATATATGTTGACGTCTTAATCCTCAGTACCTCAGACCATGAAGTTATTTGAAAATAAGGTCGTTGCAGACATAGTACATTAAGATGAGGTCACATGGAGTAGCCCCTAATCTAATATGACTGGTGTTATAAAAAGAATGCCACATGGAGAGACAGAAACACAGGGAGAACACTACAGATACAGACACAGAGTGCAGTTATGCTGCCACAAGCCAATGAATGTCTAGGGATACCAGAAGCTGAAAGAGGCAAAGAGCCTTCTCCTATAGGTTTCAGAGGGAACACAGCCAGCTTACACCTTGATTTTGTATTTCTAGCCTCTATTTTGTTACAGCAGCCCTAGGAAACTACGACAAAAGGCATACCACATTCTTGGAAAAGAACATCTGACAGCAAAGATGATAGTGATCCACAAATTAATTAACTTAAAGTGGTTTCAATAAAAATGTCTGAAAATACAAGTAAGTAATAGCTCAAAGGAAAATGATACTATGGGTTTCCAACATAGAGGAAGAAATGGGTAAGAAGAAAAATTACTTTTCAATATATATCCTTTTGTACTTAAAAAAATTTGAACTATTAGCATGTGTTATGTATTTTAAAAAGTGAAAAAATAAAATTGTTCTGAACAGTAACTAAAATGAGAATAAACAATAGCAAGGTAAAAACTGGATAAAAGAGTTAGAATATAAAACTGGAAGAGCCCACCTAGCATGAGTGAGTAGGGAGTAAGTATTGAGGAGAGGATAAAACATAGAATGAGAAATTAAGCTTAAATATGGTCTAATAAAAACATGAATCTATCTCTGATACTACTCAAAACCACACTAATACAAAATAAAGAAAGAAAAAGATATAAACTAACAAAGACCACTCTTCCACCCTAGAGAAGATAGAACATCATTCTTTTGAGAAATATGAGCAGAAAGGCTCTAGCATCGCGGACACCAGGGAGAGGGATGCAAAGATAATGAACTGGCTCCAACACAGAGTAAGTGAAAGTCCCTGTACCATAAGGGGAGACATCCAGTCCCTAGTTGCTGCTTAGCCCCAAGATACGAAAATGGAGATTTTTCTCCCTCTCTGCCAGACTGAGAATAAAGTAAAGGAAAAAGTCTTGTGAAGCTGTAATGCAGGTAAAGTTAAGAGACTTGGTCGCAGATTATAAATGTAGAAAAGGAGGCAGAATACGAAGCCTAAGCTTTTGAGTTATCTCAGTTCAAGGAAAAGGAAGTTCAATAAAGTAAAAGATGTGGAGGGAGAGGGTACGATCAGGTCTTTAAGGTACTATCCAAGCAGACGTGAGGCAAGGACAAGATCAAAATATCAAATGTGATAAAAACACTCCATGTTTTAAGATGGTGGAATGAAAAAGTATCTGATCTCTTTTCTAGTTTACAAACAAGAATGAACAGTCATTGATTCTTCAGTGATCCTAGGAGGTAGCTGTAACCCCAAGTAGAATAAATGAATTACTGCTGACACACATAGTGAAGGGTGGAACAGGGGAAGAAATATTCTAAGAGAAGACAGCTGCTCTTGCTGATCCTGGACAGAGCCAGCAGCTGACAATGTCAAAATGGATATTACACCTTGAAGTGCCAAATTAAGTAACCCGTGATTACAACATGGAAATTTGGGCGTGTAGGCTGATAACAGGAGACTTGTTATCTCAAGGTATCTTAAGGAAGCCAGAACCAAACAAGGAAATACTCTGAAATACTATCTTTTTTAGGAAGAAGTCTGTTGGGGTGAGAGTGTAAGATTCAGAGTATGAGAAGACTTGCAGCTGCAGTTCCTTTTTGGATGAGAAGAAATAAAGCCTAAACATACATTCACACAACCACATAGAATAAAAGGCTTCAGTATGAAGCACAGATGCATTGCTACCCGTCAAGAGTTGGCAAACTTTTTTTTAAGGTCAGATAGTAAATATTTTAGGCTTTGTGGGTCCTATAGTCTTTGACACAACTATTCAACTTTGCCTTTGTTAATCTGAAAGTATTAGATGTCAAGATGTAAATGTTGGGTATAGCTCATTGGTAGAGTGCATGCTTAGCATGTACAAGGTCCTGGGTTCAATCCCCTGCACCACCATTAAAACAAAACAAAAAAAGTTAAAAAAATAAAAAGTAAACTGACAGTTAAAAAAAGATGTAAATGACTGAGTGTGGCTGTGTTGCAAAACTTTATTTACAAAAACAAGTGGCTGACCTACAGGTCATAGTTTACGAATCCCTGCTTTAGATCAGAGCACTCCTTCTCCTTCCCCAATATTATCTTTCTTAAAAAAATCAGGTCAAGGAAGAACTATCCTCACTCAAAACTGAGAAGGTGCTGGAATCAGATCTCTAAAAAAGTTACAAAAGAAAAAGAAAAGAAACATGATACAAAGAAAGCAAACCAAAAATACAAGCTAAAGCAATTATGAGACATAGTAAATGAATACCCTGACTAAAGGTATTGCCATGAATGAATAAACTTAATGAAAATACTAGCTGTGAATCAAGAGCTCAAAATAGAAATATAAATCCATGAAGAAGAAACAATGAGAAAACAAAAAAGCTAAAAAATTAACTAGCAGAACCAAGAAAAGAGATGATAGAGAAAAATAAAACAACCCAAAACAAGGAACACCATGCAAAATGGGGGAAAAAGAGAGAGAAAGAAAGACAGAGAGAGAGAGAGGTATTAATTACATAAGGACTTTGAGTATTAAAATTATAGTAGGGTAACCTCATATCGCAAAACAAGATAATGGATAAAGCAGAAATTCTAATGCATCACTGGGCTTATCGGAAGTAGCATAAACCTCCAAGAACACCACAATACTCTCCACCAATCACACCCCAGCAGCATACACAAAAAAATGACCAAAACAAAAACAAAACAACTAATAGCCAAAACCAGGTCTGAGAGAAAGAATTAGAAAGCAACATGGCTACAAAACAGAAACAGACTCACAGACATAGTAAACAAATTTAAGGTTACTGGGGGAAAAGTGGGTGGGAAGGGATAAATTGGGAGTTTGAAATTTGCAAATACTGGCTACTATACATAAAATAGATAAAAAACCAAATTTTTTCTGTATAGCACAAGGAACTATATTCAAGACCTTGTAGTAATGTATAACAAAAAAGACTATGAAAAAGAATATATATGTATGACTGAAACATCATGCTGTATACCAGAAATGAACACACTGTAACTGACGATACTTCAATTGAAAAAAAAAAGAAAGCAACCTGGACAATAGATCTGACTTGAGTACTTAGGGAAACAATAGCCCTGTTAACTAAAGTGTAAGACCCTTGAGCCATCAATAAAGCTCAACTGACATTCCTACAAAAAGCTAGGACCTTCAGAGAACGTTCAGCTGATACTCTTGGCAATGCCTCTTGGAACCCACCAGAAACACATGCAAATCATCTTCAGAAGAAAGCAACCCCCAATTTAGGACAATAAGATTATCGCAAATTAAGATTTAAAAAATTCAAACTCAGAATCAGCAATCATCAAGCATGTGAAGAAGCAAGTACATTAAGTGAGTCATCAAAAAGAAGATATTCAAACCTGAGGACTTAAGACACTGTAACTGTCAGATACAGGATATAAAAGAGCAGTATTTTTAAAGAAATAAAGGATAAAAACACAAAGCCGAAGAAGTCACAGAAATTATTAACAAAGGCCAGAAAGACATAAAAAGAAAACAACATCAAAAATGAAAAACAAAAAATTTTAAAAATAAAAGATGCTCCTAAAATTTTCTAAAAAACATGGATGAGTGTAAAAGAGGAATAAATACAACTGAAAAGAGAATTAGTACTGGAAGATTTATCTGAAGCAATCACTCTGAAAGCAACACAGAGTACAGAGGTAGAAAATAGCAAAGGAAATTAAAAAATATTGAGGAAAAAATAAAAAGCATCTATCTAATAGGAGTCTCAGAAGTAGAGTGTTAAGCCAGTGAAGGAGAGCCAATATCTGATGATGCTGGGAATGTTTCAGAATTAATGGAAGACATAAGGAAGAAGACAATACTATGAGTAATTTTATACAAACAGATTTGAAAATAGATGAAACAAACTGTTAAATATAACAGATGACCCTGTGGGGAGAGTAGAGCTTAGTGACAGAGTGCATGCTTAGCATGCACGTGGTCCTGGGTTCAATCTCTAGTACCTCCATTAAAAAAATAAAATAAAATAAAAATAAACACCTAATTACCTACCCCCTACAAAAACAAAAAATAAAAACAAAAGAAATAACAGATGGTCCAGGAACATCAATATATAGTAAACTTTTCAGAATACAGAGGAAATTTAAATATACATGGCGATCACCTTTTTCAACTCTGTGAAAACCAGGATTAAATGCATAACTTTCTGGAAAATTACAACCTATTATCAAAAACTATTGCCAAGAGAGACATAACCACCTACATAGAAAAGTTATAAAAGTAAAAATGGGAAAAAGCTGTCAAAGAAACTTCCCTCAAAAATCCACAGGGTCCAAATAATCCACAAAATCCATAACTTCAACAGGTAAGATAAAACAAATTTTTTTGACTTTTTTGTATGTTTGTTTGTTTTACTATTCATATTACTTTATTTGGGGGGGGGGTAATTAGGTTTATTTATTTATTTTTAATGGAGGTACCAGGGACTGAATCCAGGACCTCATGCATGCTAAGCACACACTCTTACCACCAACCTGTACGCTGGCCCCCTTAAACAAAAATCTTAAGGGAGTTTTATGCCAATGTTATATAAATGTTTTAGAACAGGAAGGAAACCTTCCAAATATTATTTATGAAACCAGTGTAACACTGACTTGAAAGGCTGAGTTAGAATAATAATTTAAATTCAGAGCAAAAATGAGGATGAGGCATTAATAAATATGTAAATAATATTGAACCATATACCTAAAAGGAAAAAAACCATATGATAATCTCCTATAAGAAAAGATTGTTATTTTGATTCTATGAACTCTAAACTCAAGTTGCAAAAAGTACTTCAAAAAGCAATGACAACAGGAGGAAAAAAACTAGAAAAAGATGAGAGAGAAAGGGTTGATCACTTTAACATGTTAAGGGTTCATACAAATTAAGAATTCAATAGAAAAAAGAGCATGAAACCCAAACTGTTCATAAGAAAGAAATATAGATAGATTTTAAACATATGAAAAGATGCTTGTCTTCACTTATAATAAAGGAAATTCAAATTCAGACCATAGTAAGTTATTTTTCACTTATCAAATTGGCAAAGATTTAAGAAGTGCTAATAAACTATGTTGCAGAAATTGTTAGTAGAAATATAAATTGTTATAATCTCTTTGAAGGGGAAAAAAGACACTGCAATATCTATCAAATTAGAAATATATGTATGTATGTGTATGCATGTATATGTATATATGTGTGTGCATCTATATGTATGCATATATATTTACATATGTATACACCTATGTCACACACAAACAAGCACATGTATATATACCTGACAAATGTAGCAGAAAATGAGAGGTAGCAGAAAATCAGCACTGACTTTCAATTACAGTTCTATGAATATCTGAACACAAAAGGAAAGGATCCAATGTAAAACAGTGAGCAGAAAACACTGAAGATGCTAATACTAGAATGATTATCAAAGTAAAACTGGAATGAATTAGGAAATGTTGATATCTAGCACACAGGTAAGAAAGCTAACTGGTCTTTCAGGTTCTGAGAAAAGAAGCTTTGAGGAAAGAATTTAAGAAAGTTATCTAGAAGTGACATTGTAGGTATATAAAGAATTCACACCAATTGTCATTATAAAATTGTACAGCCTTAAAAAAAATACCACTGAAGAACATTTAAGGGGGATCAACAACTTACAGATTAACCATTAAAGGGTTCTGGCCCCTACTCATCTGTATGGTTCCCTCCCACTAACCTGGACAATGTCTCTTTAACACTTCTTCCTCCACCACCCATGGTTCTTCTTCTTGCTCCAACTTGAAAATCACATCAGGTTTGGTGAATGGACATCCTGTCAAAGGGAAGTGACATTAAGATCTGGGCATAAATACTAGGAACAAAGAATCATTCAAAAATTGAGGCGAGCCCAGGGAAATTTGGCTTCCTAAAGGACAAGGTAAGTATGATTTCTGGGGATGCTGACTTCTGAAACATAACCAAGGATGACATTTTGCTCTGAAAGCTGCAGCATGCACAATCATGTGAACAAAGGCATCTAAAGGCCACACTTAAGTGTAATGTTTCAGGTTCCACACATTTCAGAAACACCTGAAGAAAAAAGGGCACTTTAATCCCAGAATTTGAGTTGTACAGGAAACTACCCTTACCCACTGTGATTAAGTTGTTATAGTTTTCTAGCATCACATTCCGGTACAGGTTCCTCTGAGCAGGATCCAATTGCTGCCACTCTTCCTGAGTGAAGTCAATAGCCACATCTTTGAATGTCACTGTTTCCTGTAACATACTCGCACTCAATCTGAAGTCATCCATCTTAGATGTTCTGGACAAAAAATATTGAAACTTGTTCTGAGAGTACACAAAGATAAGAGGCTATAAAATAAATTTTACCTGGTTTTGTTACTGTCTTAACAAAAAAACATAATAGCAGCCTGTCAGTTTATGTTCATTCATTTAGTAAGCACATATCTTTAATACTGTGAGTTAAAGGGATCTTGGGTACCAATTTATACTGAATATAAAAAATGGGGGAAACAAAAGGAAGGCTCTCAGCAACCTGCCTAGTGTGTTGCTGGATTGGGAGAAGTCATACAATCTTAAGAATCCTGCCATAAGAGGGAGAGAGTAGAGTAGAGCAGGTTTATCCATAGAAGTTCTGAGAAGGTCTCAGAATCCATAGGGCTGATGGAAGATACTTTTCTCCTGAGGCAGTAAGCAAGGACTGGAGGAGGTGAATGCAGGTGAAGACAGCAATGCAAAACTTCAAGAAACATGAATAATCAAGGAAACATGATAGCACAAGAGGATCACAATAATCTTCCATAGCTGATCCAAAAGACATGGAGATTTTCAAGACATTCAATAAAGAATTCAAAATAGTTGTTTTAAGGATAATCAATGAACTACAAGAAAACAGAAATATAATTCAATCAAACCAAGAAAAATAATACACAAACAAAATGAAATGTTTAACAAAGAGATAGAAATTATAAAAAAGAATCAAAGAAAAATTCTGGGAAAAAAAAAGAAACAGCGTGGTAAATGTTAACTCTAACTTTGATGAAAATAAAGAATTACTGTTAAATTTTTTTAAAAAAAGAAATTCTGGAGCTGAAGAACACAGTGAATGAAATAAAAAATGCAAAAGAGAACATCAATAGGAGAATAGATCAAGCAGAAGAAAGAACCTCTGACTTAAAAGATCAGAATTTTGAATTATCCAGTCAAAGGAGAAGAAAGAATGAAAGAGTGAAGAAACCATACATGAATTATGGGGTTCCATGACTTTAAAGAATATTCACATTCTGGGAGTCTCAAAATGTGAATAGAGAGAGAACAGAGGCACAAACTGTATTCAAAGAAGTAAAAGCTGAGGACTTCCCAAATCTGGAGAGAGATTTGGATACCCAAGTTCATGAAGCTCACAGGTCACCAAACTAAATATAAAGAGATCCTCTGCAAGACACTTTATAATGTCAAAAATTAAAGCAAAGAAAGAATCTTAAAATTAGCAAGAAAAAAGCAGAAAATCCCCATTAGACTCAGTATGGATTTTTTAGCAGAAACTTTCTAAGCCAGGGGAGAATGGGATGATATATTCAAAGTATTGAAAGGAAAAAACTCTACAAAACATGAACACCCTATCCACCAAAGATGTCTGGAGAGATAAAGACTTTTTAAACACACACTGAGGATGTTCATCACTAGACCTACCTTACAAGAAATGCTAAACAGAGTTCATCAAGCTAAAATGAAAGGGTGCTAATTAATAGCATGAGAACATATAAAAATATATAACACACTGATAAAGGCACATATAGAGTCAAATTCCAAAATCTCTAATACTGTAATATGGAGGTGTATTAACCACTTAACTCTAGTATAAAGGTTAAATGACGAGAGTATTAAAAACTACAACTACAGTAATTTGTTAATGAAAACACAATTAAAAAGAGGTAAATTATGACAACTAAAATGTAAAAATGGGGGAGGAGGAGTAAAAGGGTTGAGTTTTTCCATGCAGTCAAAGTTAAGTGATTATCAACATAACACAGGCTTATCTACAAGATGTTTTATTTAAGATTCATGGTAACCACAAAATGGAACCTATAATAGATTCACAAACAAAAAAAAGAAGGGAATGGAAGCACACCACTATGGAAAATCATCAATTCACAAAGGAAGGCAGCAAGAGAAAGAAAAGTAAAAGGGAACTCCAATAAACCAGAAAAAAGTTACTAAGATGTCATAATAAGGCCTTACCTATCAATATTTAAATCCTCCAATCAAAAGGCACAGAGTGGCTGGATGGATTTGAAAAAAAAAATAACCATATGCTGCCTAAAAGGGACTCAATTCCACTTTAAGAACATACATAGTCTCAAAGGGAAGGAATAGCAAAAGATATTCATGCAAGTGGAAACCAAGAGACACCAGGATTAGCTATATTCATATCAGATGAAATACTTTAAATCAAAAACTATAACAAGAGACAAAGAAAGGTGTTACATAATGATAAAGGGGACAATTTATCAAGAAGATATAACAATCATATATGTACTCAACATGAGAGTGCTTAAATATATTAAGTAAATACTAACGATCTAAAGGGAGAAATAGACAGGAATGCAATAATAGTAGGGGATTTCAATACTCCACTTTTAACCATGGATAGATCATCCAAACAGAAAGTCAAACAGGGAAATGTTAGATTTGAACTACATTTTAGATCGTATGGCCCTAACAGACATCTACAGAATAAAGCACCCAAAAGCAGCAGTATACTCTTCTCAAGTATACAAAGAACATTCCTTAGGATAGATCATATGATAGGACACAAGAAAAGTCAGTTCATACCAAGTGTAATTTCTGACCACAATGGAATAAAACTAGAAATCAATAAAAGGAGCAAAGCTGGAAAATTCTCAAATATAAGGAAATTAAACAACAAACTCCTGAAGAACCACTGAGTCAAAGAAGAAATCACAAAGGAAATCAAAATATATCTTGAAACAAATGAAAATAGAAACACAACAAATCAAAACGCACAGATGTAGCAAAAGTAGTTACAAGAGTGATGAATGCCTATATTAAGAAAAAAGAAAGCTCTCAAATAAACCATCTAATTTTACACTTAAGAAACTAGAAAAACAAGAATAAAACTAAGCCCGAAGTTAACAGAAGGAAGGAAATAATAAAGATCACAGCAGAAATAAGTGATATAGACCAGAAAAACAACAGAGAAGACCAATGAAATAAGACCTGATTTGGGGAAGGGAAAAAAAAAAAAAACCCACACACAAACCAAAAAGCAAAACAAACCCAGAAACAAAATTGACAAACCTTTAGCTCTACAAATAAAAAAAGTGAGAAGAGTCAAACAGAATCATAAATGAAAGAGATACTACAACTGATATCACAGATACAAAGGAGAGACTACTATGAACTATGCTAACAAAGTGGATAACCTAGAAGAAAAGGATAAATCCTACCAAGACTGAATCATGAAGAAACAGAAAAGCAGACCAGACCAATATGAGTAAGGAGACTGAATTAGTAATCAAAATTTTCCAATAAAGAAAATCCTCCTCTCCCTCCAAAAAAAAAGAAAAGCCCAAGACTAGATGGCTTCCCTGGTGAATTCTGCCAAATATTTAAAAATGAATTGATGCCAATCTTTCTCAAATTAAAAAAAAAAAAAAACACTGAAGTGGAGGGAACACTCCCAAGCTCATTTTTACAAGGCCAACATTACCCTGCTACCAAAGCCAGACAAGGACACTACAAAAAAAGAAATCTAAAAAAACCAGTTATCTCTAATGAATACAGATGCAAAAATTTTCAACAAAATATTAGCAAACCAAATCCAACGAAACATTAAAAAAAATCATACATCATGATCAAGTTGGATTCATCCCAGGGTCACAAAGATGGTACAACATATGCAAATCAATCAATGTGATACACCACAGCAATAAAAGAAAAGACAAAAACACACGATCATCTCAATAGATGCAGAAAAAGCATTTGATAACATTCAACAACCATTTATCATAGAAACTCTTACCAAAGTGAAGAACACTCTAATTTGAAAAGATACATGCACCCCGATGTTCATAGCAGCACTATTTACAATAACCACGACATGAAAGCAACCTAAATGCCCACTGACAGATGACTGGATAAAGAAGATGTGTGTGTGTGTATATATATATATACACACACACATTGTGTATATATATATATACACAATGGAGTATTACTCAACCCTAAAAAGAATGAAATATTGCCATTTGCAGCAACAAGGACAGACCTAGAGAATACTAAGTGAAGTAAGTCAGACAGAGAAAGAC